AGAGATCTGGTGCGATCTCAATATAGGTCTATGTAACGTGAATGTCTGGTATGTATCTAGCTGCATTGAGTCTACAATGAAAACATTCATCACGTCTATACTTCTGTAACATGTATGCTAAAATAATATTCAATAGAGGTAAAGTATACAGTAAAAGCATATTTTCCGGACGGTGTCGTCCCTTGCGAAACCATCTGCATGGTAATATTTCTTGATATAAGTGGCCAGTGGTAATCGTTCTGAAGGCAGGGTTTCCTGATTAGCGCCCGGATCCAGACTAACACTTGTTGCTATCATATCTCAGAAATGTTTTTTGGCAGACATACTTTATAAAAGTATATTGTTATTTCTAGACCATAGCAAAACATACATGTATGTTGCAACTTATTTGTTGTTCACATTTTTAAGGTTAATTTATCCAATAGTGATTAAATGGGGGGATGATAAATAAAGGTTGTATTGTATTTAGCGACCCTTGGCGAGCTAAATATATAGTATCTATTCTTAATACAGGATATTTACCATCCCCAAACACACAAGCGTGATAACCTCTTTATCATATAATGTCATTCTTCAATTCTGTGCTTGAAAATCGCTTTCCCTCTCTCACAAACATTACCGAAACATTGCGAGTTTTCCTGGAATGCGCGCATTGATATTTATTACGTCACAGGGTAAGTGATGTGTCAGTCGGACAGTGACAGTAGCCAATATAGTACCAACTGAAATCTGTTTCTTATACAGTGCCAAAACAACACAAACGCAAAACAACAATTGTTTTACTTGCCTTTCGCGGCAATGCATCGGACTGTCCGCTAGAGTAACTGCCCTTTGTCAAAGGGAATTAAGCTACTCTAACCCTAGTCTATGAGACGTAACGGCCACGGTCAGACGTTGTTGACAGTCGGCCTGTCCTGTCATATGTACACACAGCGACAAAACGAAACAAGGTAACAATTCGAACATATTTCGACCAACTCCAACTATTTTAACTTGTGGAAAAGGTCTAGTGCCCTCGCAAAATTTCGAAATTTATATCTCCAGAGTTGCCAAAACTTATGAATTTTTAAATGCCTTAGCTACGTCACAGTTAGACACTGATTTTCAGTATATGAGACTGTTCTTTTGATAATGATAGCAATTATCCCTGTAGTTTATCCAGATTCCCGATGGTTAATTCTGACTCGATCGCCGAATGACGAGGGTGACGCCATGTTTGTTTATAAACAGTGAAAGTAGTCCCTACTTGACCTTTGATATTTGATCATATTTGCATCTCTATCCGCATATGACCCAACGGATATCGTTTTTATCCGTTGGCTTTATCCTGCCGAGAAACCTACCCATTATATGATAAAAAGATATATTTTACTAATGTAACTGGCCCTGGGCCCCGTACCACTAAACGATCGTGGCGCTATGACTCTCTCTCTCTCTCTCTCTATGTTGAAGTAAAGAAGTTGCGATCATCTTTGTAGAACGGGGCCCAGAGGTTTAAGGCAGCAAATGTCGCTGTATAGAGTTGTGTCCCTTAGATGTGTCTGGATCCGTTGATCGGGTGGCATTCGAATGGCAGATTTGCATTGAATTTTACCATTACCCAAGCTCGCGGATTTCACAAAGTGGTACGTCACTTCGGACTGTTTAAAGTCGCATAAAAATCAAATCGCTAAGTAAAGAGCTGTATTTATCCGAGAGTAACAGCGAACGATATATGTCTACGGTGTACTAATTGGTGTATAAGATCCATCAGTTTGACCAGTCAATATGTACAAAACAGATTTCTACAGTCTCCACTGAATTGTGGTTTGGGGATTCGCCTTATCGTGCACCCAGTGCATCATCCTGCTTCCATCCTCACCGCATCCTCGTCGTTATCTAATGCAGTGACCACGTGATGTAAACAATGGGCACAAGACTCCATGGAAACCTCCAAAACATTAAGGTAATCAAGTAGATATTCAGACATCCGGGAAGGCTGTGGTTTGCCACAGTCACTATGTGTACTGCTACTGGTTGATGAATTTAGATTATTCCCAGTGAACGCTGAAACATAATTCCCTCAACCACTTTCAAAACCGTTGGGGCTACCAGATAATTAGGTTTCCACGTTTAGTTCGTTTTCTTCAAAGGTTTGAGTTAACAGAACTTAGATGTGAGTGGTAGAGGCGTGTACGTCTCGTTTCATTACACCGACGTGGTTACTTGAGAAATAGTATTGCCAGATGTTGCTTGTCAGCCCCTTGTGTAACCTTCACAACCATGTGTTTGTTAGCCTCACAGTCCCGCAACCATGCCATTGTCCCTTCCATCCAACCCTTACTGGCCCTAATGAAGTAAGTCTAGATGTTCCGCGGGCCCCTTTTCAATTTAAATGTAGTTACTTGTTTCTATCAACATATATTATTTCAGAAACTAATCGTAAGTCTATGTTTATTGAGGTGGTGATTAGGGGCTGGTGGGGGAGGTGTTGACACGGAGGTGATGGTTAGGGGGTGGCGGGGAGGTGTTGTTACGGAGGTGATGATTAGGGGGTGATGGGGAGGTGTTGTTACGGAGGTGATTAGGAGGTGGTGGTGAGGTGCTGAAACCAAGGTGATGATTAGGGTATGATAAGAAGGTGATAGGGAGGCGATGATTAGGGGGTGATGCGGAGGTGATGATTAGGGGTGATGGGGAAGCGATGATAAGGGGGTGATGGGGAGGTGTTGATACGGAGGTGATGATTAGGGGGTGATGGGGAGGTGCATGGTGATACGGAGGTGATGATTAGGGGGTGATGGGGAGGTGTTGTTACGGAGGTGATGATTAAGGGGTGATGGGGAGGTGTTGATACGGAGGTGGACGTTCATGGACGCTCATGGACGTTCAGAAACATCGAGTGTATATAATACTTCAGAGGTGAACAGTTGAATTTCGAAAACATCTCAAGAAGGAAAGGAAGCCAGAAAAACACAAAAAGCTATGCCTCGTGCACTCGTTGCTAAGGTTACTGTGTCCTGGTTACGGAGAGTTTTACAAATACTCTTTTCATTTCTAAATAGCTGGATGTCAAGACGTTTCTTTCTTTCGTTCGATTTCAAATTCAAATTTCCGTTGCTGCGTAGTTAGACATCCTGAATGCCCCCGGGAACGGGAAAGTGCCAGCATCTCGGTACAGGCTTCTCACTACATCTTGTTCAGCTGCTGCATGTGACCGAGGGGCGCAATACATGTCAGAAAAAAATACTTAGTCAATTGGTTGTTTTTTTTACCTTAAGGTGAGATTTGTCAGGTCAACATAAAAATAACCATTGTGTTGTTTTTCGAGTTTAACCAATTTATCTCTGTGTGTCTGTCATGGTGTGATGTGTGAACATTTACATGAATTTGTCACTAACGACATTATCGGTAAGAAGACTGCACGTCAAAACATATTTCTGATAGAATTAATCGGCAAAAAAACATTGCTAACTGTTGAATTAATCAGCAACAACCTTTTGTGTAAACAGTTTTTATGAAATATCTTATAAACATAATATATATTTAATGTATTTTTTCACGCAATACCTTAAGGTCCCGCTGACTCAGAGTCCAATATTTAACGGGCGCTTTATTTAATTACGTTTAGATTATACACGTTTCCTCTAGTCTGGAAAACGTTCCGCCATGATAGTTAACTCCTGATTATAGACATATTTATATCATGAACACTATTTTCGAATACTTATTTAAGATTAAAGCGAGATCCCCAATGTAAGGATTATAAATCTGCATTTGTAAACGGGACAATAAGACTGGTAGAGTTATCCCCCTTGGAACACTCATTACGCGGTGCAAATAACACATAGTTGCTTTCAAATATCATCGAATATAAAGCCCTAACTTTACATCAAATGAACGACAACATGTCTTATCAGGATGTGTTTGATTTTAATATCGTATGCCCAGACGTTATTCTATTTTCTGTGAAAATATTAAAGAGGTCAGTATTATGTTAATACGCAAGTGACCCGACCAATGATTGACGGAAGATTAAACACACATTAGACAGTATGAAGGTGAGCGACGTGCGCATTAAATAAATACTATTGAATTCCATGAATACTATCTGACAAACAAATAATTTCATTGCTTTGGAATTCGCATCAACTACCCTGGGAATGACAGTTCAAAATAAGATGTGGACTTATGAATTATTTGAAAATGAGAATATGTATCCACCACTGAGTATATATAATCTATATATTTCTTCAAGCATTGTTCGTACACACAACACGCGGCTATGGTTTGTGACAGCAATGTAAGCAAGTCTATGGATCGTGGTGACAGTTGGCATCGCGTGGCGTTCAGCGTGGCGTCCGCCTCCGTTACTGTTGCCAGGATACCTGCTGTGCAGAGTGAGTGAGTGAGTGTTCTTTAACGCCGCATTTAGCACTATTCTCGCTGTATGAGGACAGTCTGTAAATATGCGCAAAATAAACCAGTGTTTTTCACTCTATCAACAGTCACCCAGCCTCGCCACCCTATATTCCAGTCCGGAATCCCCTCGGGTCAGTGAATGATTGGGTGGGTGGTCGAGCGGGTGGATAGAGGATTAGTGTGTGACTGAGGGATGACTTAGGGTGTGACTTCTGATTGTATTCTTGTGTGCGGTGGTTTCTTTGACACATAAAAAACAACAAAATGTTTAAAACATTAATGAGTGGGTTAGTAGTTGCCAGATATATTGGGCTATGGCACGCTGAAAATCATATATTCAAGTCAGCCAATCAATACACGCAGTCGGGGTTCGACGACATAATCAACAAATTGCCACATTAAGCGTCTGCAATTTGGCCATCTCTAAATACCTGCTTTGGGTTCTGGGGCCTATTCTCCCCGCACTCTCCAACGGGTAAGGATAAATAATAATGGTTTCTTTACAGAAGATACACATACCAGTTCTGTATTTTCTCGCTGGGTTTCCTATATTTGTATCGCCAAAAGCAAGTTCAATTTTCAGATATAATTTGTATCGCCAAAAGCAAGTTCAATTTTCAGATATAATTTAAAGTTGCAAAATCAATAAACTACCAATCTTAGCCACCGGTCTTGCTTCGGCGTTAATATCCATATGAATGGGAAAGCCTGTGTGTATTGAATCGGGCTCTATCCATCTGGCGACACATGCGCACTTTTCCCATATCGACTTGTGATACTAAATTCAACTTTGCAAACTCCTTACACCACCGCTGCACTAAACTCTTGACGGCGCGTTATCATAAGGAACCACGTCATTCACTGTCGCGGGTGATTGTCCCAGCTACACCGTAAAATCATTCACAATGGTGATGTGCAGGTCGCCGGTTTCGCTCATTGTTTTTATTTTATCTTTGAAATTTCTAAGTATACATGGAGTGTGGGAGCTGGATAAAACTAACTTTGACAAGGTAAGACATGTGTATATTATCATTTTTGACGAGTAACGTGGAAAACACATAGAAATTTCTAAATGAAGGGTGGCTAAAATTATTCGGAAACATTATACAAGGCAAAACAATGTTAACTTTTTTTACAAGGTACTGTAATACATTAAAAAAAGTGATAGGGCCGTGTATATTTTGGTTCCAATTCCAAGAAAACTTATGAAATGATTATTATATTAATTACTGTCATTTTCCGAAGTTGATATCATCCTATAAAACATCACGGAAATAACGTTGTGATATGGTGCGTTTTACCGTTTGTGTTTTAATGATAATGGTTCTATCATCGAATGAAATCACCGTAGAAATGCAATTCTCCCTTGATGCCCAGGTGTCCTCGCTATAGCGCGATGTATACCGGCACGACAACGTGGTACTCATTGATCTCCGGGTTGGCAACACGTGGTGTCATGGGTGAACCTGCACTGGCACACGCATATCAATATTTGTATCCCACATTTGTAGTCGATAGTGCGGATTATGCTGTATTTCCACCACAGCATCTATGCGATCACAGTAAAAAATAACGAGTATAGTTTTCAACAGCAGTTTGTTCTGTGAAAAGGTCATTTGTAGATAGGTGTTGATTCTTTATATACTCATAATTATAGGGATGTTTCAATGTACAAACAACAAATGTGCACTTGAACAGATTGTATTGATGAATCATTCCCATGGACTGTCTACGTGTCTTTTCATATTGCAGTAAACGTATTAGGAATATTAATACAGTAACTGTTACTATTAATAGTAGTTTTGGTATCAGTTGTAGACGTAGAAATAGTTTATCGGTGTCAGTAGCTTATAGTAGTAATATAGTGGTACTAGTAGTAGTAGTAGTAGTAGTAGTAGTAGTAGTAGTAGGACTAGTTCTGTAAAACATATATAGTAGTAGTAATGGTAGTAGTTATAGTAGTAATTTAGTAATGGTAGAAGTAGCAGTAGTAGTAGTAATACTAGTAGTTGTAGTAATAGTAGTAATTTAGTAGTGGTAGAGGTAGTACTAGTAGTAGTACTAGTAGTAGTAGTAATAGTAGTAGTAGTAGTAGTAGTAGTAGTAGTAGTGTCAATATTAATGCCATTTTTAATATTTCAGTTTCGAGAGGCAGCCTCTTTTCCAATCTACTTTGTCGACTCACCAGGTAAGCATGTTTGGTAAACTTTCAAGAATATTTCACTTGTAAGTGTGTGTGTGTGTGTGTGTGTGTGGTGTGTGTGTGTGTGTGTGTGTGTGTCTGTGTCTGGCTGCTTGCACCAGTCCGGATTGTATAGTGATCGCAGGGTAACAGCAAGTAACATGTTTTGGTATGACGCGGTCAGAGGATCGATCTCCTGGCCGACGCTCTATCCAATACACAACGGAGGCGGTCAGAGTTACAGTGAAATTTCCCAGATTAACGCATTTCCGGACAAGCAAATTATTGTCATGACCGGTACAGACTTTCCCATCATCGACTGTCCGGACTAACGAGGGTTCGCTGTATAAAAAACAACATGTTGAAACTGATATCTTGAGGGTAGTAGAAACTGGATTCAGTGTCTGATTTGAGCTCGTGGACGGTTTAAGTTTAAGGGAGAGATATTAGGCCACAAAAAGAACTATATAAAATTGCGCCCATGTGTAGAGAGTGAGTGAGTGACTGAGAGGGTATGGCTTTACCCCCATTTGAAGCAATATTCCAAGGTTATCACCGCAAGGGACACTAGGAATTAGCTTCACCCACTTTACCTGTATGGGACATCTAGCCCTTTCTATCGACGTGACGATCAAACGTGTTAGTCCGTCTGGCCTATGGAATGTGGGCCGTTATTGATGAATTACCTCCCTTGTTTCAGGGTGTTCCCGTTGCCGGGTGCTCTATCCGTTTTTCTTCGCCGCTTCTCAGATATTTAAAGATGACAGGGAAATCATCTTCGGGAGGGTTCAGGACAAAACGCTGATACGCCAGTGGGGGATCGAGGAACTGCCCGCCATATTCTTCCACGAGAAGGGGGAGAAGGAAGCGGAGAGGTGGGTGACGTATGAGACGCCGTTTTACCATTTGTTTCTTATTTTGTACCATGGATTCATTTATTGATATCACAAAATGAATTACTGATCTCACAAACTTTATTTTTACAAATAATTAATTGAATTATGAATTCTAGTAACCTACACTATTATTTTATGTCTTAAAATGTAGTTCATAATACCAGAATATCGATTTAATGATATCTAAAATCATTAATCTTTTTCATCACACATTCGATTTTGTGATTTAATTCATCAAACGGGCAGGGCACATATTGTTACCAGCAGATCTTCAGATTTTAGTGTGATTTTGTGTACATAGTTTCGTTCGTTGTGCCAACGCCTGCTGGTTCGAATCCCCGATTCCTTTGATTACGATCCTTGGTTTGTCAGCACCACACCCGTGCTCGTGGGATTCACCCAACATTCCGATTCCATTGTCGTCATGACTTCGGATTTACTGTATTCGTGTAGTTGAATTCCGTAATTTTTGTTTCGTGTGTCAACTCTTTGGTGAATGTTTGAATCTACCTTGTCCCTGAACAGACTGGAGGGCGACATCACCGTTGACAACATCGTCAACACCATCGCCCTAGCTATGCCCGGCTACATCGGGGAGGTGAAACGCCAACACGTCATCGAGGTCACCGACAAAAACTACGACGAACTGGTCATCACACCCAAACAGAATGTTATACTACTCAACTATAATAACGGTATGGTATTAATGTCATACTACTCAACTATCTTAACGGTTTGGTATTAATGTCAACTATAATAACGGTATGGTATTAATGTCATACTACTCACCTATCTTAACGGTTTGGTATTAATGTCAACTATAATAACGGTGTGGTTTTAATATAATACTACTCTACTACAATAACGGTATGGTATTAATGTCATACTACTCAACTATAATAACGGTGTGGTATAAATATCATACAACTCATTAAATAACGGTATGGTATTAATGTCATACTACTCAACTATAATAATGGTATGGTATTAATGTCATACTTCTCAACTATAATAACGGTATGGTATTAATGTCATACAACTCAACTATAATAACGTTATGGTATTGATGTCATACTACTCTACTAACTGATAGTGAGTTATCCTACAACTATGACATCATCTATTCAATCATAATGCACAGATATAACAGTGGGGACATTGGTAAGATATTGCTCTGTTTTTGACCTCAAGGCGACAGTGTAGACTACGTCATTTATGGTGACGATGCAGACTACGTCTACTGTGGTAAACGTGATTGGCGCAGACTAGTACCCTGTGGTAAACGTGATTGGTGCAGTCTAGTCCCCTGTTGTTAACGTAATTGGTGCAGACTAGTTCCCTGTGGTAAACGTGAGTGGTGCAGACTAGTTCCCTGTTGTTGACGTGATTGGTGCAGACTAGTTCCTTGTGGTAAACGTGAGTGGTGTAGACTAGTTCCCTGTGGTTAACGTGATTGGTGCAGACTAGTTCCCTGTGGTTAACGTGATTGGTGCAGACTAGTTCCCTGTGGTTAACGTGATTGGTGCAGACAAGTCACCTGTGGTTAACGTGATTGGTGCAGACAAGTCACCTGTGGTTAACGTGATTGGTGCAGACAAGCAACCTGTGGCTAACGTGATTGGTGCAGACTAGTCCCCAGTGATTAGCGTGATTAGTGCAGACTAGTCCCCAGTGATTAGCGTGATTGGTGCAGACTAGTCCCCTGTGGTTAACGTGTTTGGTGCAGATATGTAACCTGTGGCTAAGGTGACTGGTGCAAGCTACGTCGACTGTGGTTAACCGGACGGTGCAGACGACGTCACCTGTGGTTAACATGATTTGTGCAATGATGTTACCTGCTTAGCTGAAATAAGCCCTGAAACATATATACATATTTATATTTTCAGAGGAAAGAAATCTTAGGTTTTCATACGAAGAAATAGCTACAGCATTCCGATTTGACGAACAGGTAAAAAGCTTCGGTGAATTACATAATGGATTTGTAATTATAGTTTCAAACTGATCTGTTTGTTAAATACCCACAGAGACACGTGCCCCAAGATAAACACTCGAATGGATATAATTTCAAATTACATCCAAATAGAACTAATGTAAAAGAACGCTGTATACTAAGTAATATATTTTTTTTCCTTTTTCAACATATCAAGAATGTTTCCAGGCTTGTGAAGAAGCACATTGCACTACATTTAGTATAGTATTCTGTTTGTTTTGTCTCATGTTCTCTCAGAATTGTGACTGATAGAAAACATGTCTATGTATCGTTTCTGTATTGCAGGTGATATTCTGCGCCATTGACTCGGATAAATATCCACAACTGAAACGAGAAAGGTTCGTGTTTTTTATTTGAACCGAACACTCCTTAAAATGATGTGAAGAAACTTGTAGAAGCGGCAGTATAATATTTCAAAACAAAACGGACATTGTCTGTATCTCTACAAAATACTCCAACCAGTATAATCTTTTTTGTGACTGTTTTTTGTCAACATTAATTTGCGTAATATTTCATATAAAATCATATGAAGCAGCGTAGCTATACACAAGCAGGGAAACACCATTTATGCTGCCTGACATTGAGACTGTGTGCGCCTGTATAGGGGGTGGTTTGTGTACTGGTTTACTATTCTTTGTCTACTGCATTTCCAGATTCGGTCACCAGGGAAACCCAGCAGTGTTTTGGTATGAAGCGGATAATAAGCATGATAAATTCCTGGTAGGTTGGTTACACCAGTATACATGGAGCTCCTACCCTGGTTACATCCGTGTACATGGAGCTCCTACCCTGGTTACACCCGTATACATGGAGCTCCTACCCTGGTCACACCCGTATACATGGAGCTCCTACCTGGTCACACCCATATACATGGAGCTCCTACCCTGGTTACACCCATATACATGGAGCTCCTACCCTGGTTACACCCGTATACATGGAGCTCCTACCCTGGTTACACCCGTATACATGGAGCTCCTACCCTGGTCACACCAGTATATATTGAGCTCCTACCCTGGTTACATCAGTATACATGGAGCTCCTACCCTGGTCAAACCAGTATATTTGGAGCTCCTACCCTGGTTACACCCGTATACATGGAGCTCCTACCCTGGTCACACCAGTATATATGGAGCTCCTACCCTGGTTAAATCAGTATACATGGAGCTCCTACCCTGGTTACATCAGTATACATGTAGCTCCTACCCCTGCTAACATCCGCATACATGGATCCCCTACCCTGGTTACACCCATATACATGGAGCTCCTACCCTGGTCAAACCTGTATACATGGAGCCCCTACCCTGGTTACACCCGTATACATGGAGCTCCTACCCTGGTCACACCCGTATACATGGAGCTCCTACCCTGGTTACACCCGTATACATGGAGCTCCTACCCTGGTTACATCAGTATACATGGAGCTCCTACCCTGGTCACACCCGTATACATGGAGCTCCTACCCTGTTACACCCGTATACATGGAGCTCCTACCCTGGTCACACATGTATACATGGAGCTCCTACCCTGGTCAAACCAGTATATTTGGAGCTCCTACCCTGGTTACACCCGTATACATGGAGCTCCTACCCTGGTCACACCAGTATATATGGAGCTCCTACCCTGGTTAAATCAGTATACATGGAGCTCCTACCCTGGTTACATCAGTATACATGTAGCTCCTACCCCTGCTAACATCCGCATACATGGATCCCCTACCCTGGTTACACCCATATACATGGAGCTCCTACCCTGGTCAAACCTGTATACATGGAGCCCCTACCCTGGTTACACCCGTATACATGGAGCTCCTACCCTGGTCACACCCGTATACATGGAGCTCCTACCCTGGTTACACCCGTATACATGGAGCTCCTACCCTGGTTACATCAGTATACATGGAGCTCCTACCCTGGTCACACCCGTATACATGGAGCTCCTACCCTGTTACACCCGTATACATGGAGCTCCTACCCTGGTCACACATGTATACATGGAGCTCCTACCCTGGTCACACCAGTATATATGGAGCTCCTACCCTGGTTACATCAGTATACATGGAGCTCCTACCCTGGTTACATCAGTATACATGGAGCTCCTACCCTGGTTACACCCGTATACATGGAGCTCCTACCCTGGTCACACCCGTATACATGGAGCTCCTACCTGGTCACACCCGTATACATGGAGCTCCTACCCTGGTTACACCCATATACATGGAGCTCCTACCCTGGTTACACCCGTATACATGGAGCTCCTACCCTGGTTACACCCGTATACATGGAGCTCCTACCCTGGTCACACCAGTATATATTGAGCTCCTATCCTGGTTACATCAGTATACATGGAGCTCCTACCCTGGTTACATCAGTGTACATGGAGCTCCTACCCTGGTCACAGCAGTATATATGGAGCTCCTACCCCTGCTAACATCCGCATACATGGATCCCCTACCCTGGTTACACCCATATACATGGAGCTCCTACCCTGGTCAAACCCGTATACATGGAGCTCCTACCCTGGTTACACCCGTATACATGGAGCTCCTACCCTGGTCACACCCGTATACATGGAGCTCCTACCCTGGTTACACCCGTATACATGGAGCTCCTACCCTGGTCACACCCGTATACATGGAGCTCCCACCCTGGTTACACCCATATACATGGAGCTCCTACCCTGGTTACATCAGTATACATGGAGCTCCTATCCTGGTTACATCAGTATACATGGAGCTCCTACCCTGGTCACACCCGTATACATGGAGCTTCTACCCTGGTCACACCCGTATACATGGAGTTCCTACCCTGGTCACACCAGGATATATGGAGCTCCTACCCTGGTTACATCAGTATACATGGAGCTCCTCCCCTGGTTACATCAGTATATATGGAGTTCCTACCCCTGCTAACATCCGTATACATGGGTCCCCTACCCTGGTTACACCCGTATACCTGGAGCTCCTACCCTGGTTACACCAGTATACATGGAGCTCCTACCCTGGTCACACCCGTATACATGGAGCTCCTACCCTGGTTACACCCGTATACATAGAGCTCCTACCCTGGTTACATCAGTATACATGGAGCTCCTACCCTGGTTACATCAGTATACATGGAGCTCCTACCCTGGTCACACCCGTATACATGGAGCTCCTACCCTGGTCAAAACCCGTATACATGGAGCTCCTACCCTGGTCACACATGTATACATGGAGCTCCTACCCTGGTCACACCAGGATATATGGAGCTCCTACCCTGGTTACATCAGTATATATGGAGTTCCTACCCCTGCTAACATCCGTATACATGGAGCCCCTACCCTGGTTACACCCGTATACCTGGAGCTCCCAGCCTGGTTACACCAGTATACATGGAGCTCCTACCCTGGTTACACCCGTATACATGGAGCTCCTACGCTGGTTACAACCGTATACATGGAGCTCCTACCCTGGTTACATCAGTATACATGGAGCTCCTACACTGGTCACACCCGTATACATGGAGCTCCTACCCTGGTTACATCAGTATACATGGAGCTCCTACCCTGGTTACATCAGTATACATGGAGCTCCTACCCTGGTTACATCAGTATACATGGAGCTCCTACCCTGGTTACACACATATACATGGAGCTCCTACCCTGGTTACACCCGTATACATGGAGCTCCTACCCTTGTTACACCCGTATACATGGAGCTCCTACCCTGGTTACACACATATACATGGAGCTCCTACCCTGGTTACACCCGTATACATGGGGCTCCTACCCTGGTTACATCAGTATACATGGAGCTCCTACCCTGGTTACACCCGTATACATGGGGCTCCTACCCTGGTTACATCAGTATACATGGAGCTCCTACCCTGGTTACACCCGTATACATGGAGCTCCTACCCTGGTTACATCAGTATACATGGAGCTCCTACCCTTGTTACACCCGTATACATGGAGCTCCTACCCTGGTTACACCCGTATACATGGAGCTCCTACCCTGGTTACACACATATACATGGAGCTCCTACCCTGGTTACACCCGTATACATGGGGCTCCTACCCTGGTTACATCAGTATACATGGAGCTCCTACCCTGGTTACAACCGTATACATGGAGCTCCTACCCTGGTTACATCAGTATACATGGAGCTCCTACCCTTGTTACACCCGTATACATGGAGCTCCTACCCTGGTTACATCAGTATACATGGGGCTCCTACCCTTGTTACACCCGTATACATGGAGCTCCTACCCTGGTTACATCAGTATACATGGAGCTCCTACCCTGGTTACATCAGTATACATGGAGCTCCTACCCTGGTTACACACATATACACGGAGCTTCTACCCTTCTTACACCCGTATACATGGAGCTCCTACCCTTGTTACACCCGTATACATGGAGCTCCTACCCTGGTTACACCCGTATACATGGGGCTCCTACCCTGGTTACATCCGTGTACATGGAGCTCCTACCCTGGTTACATCCGTGTACATGGAGCTCCTACCCTGGTTACATCAGTATACATGGAGCTCCTACCCTGGTTACATCAGTATACATGGGGCTCCTACCCTGGTTACATCCGTGTACATGGGGCTCCTACCCTGGTTACATCCGTGTACATGGGGCTCCTACCCTGGTTACATCCGTGTACATGGAGCTCCTACCCTGGTTACATCAGTATACATGGAGCTCCTACCCTGGTTACATCAGTATACATGGAGCTCCTACCCTGGTTACATCAGTATACATGGGGCTCCTACCCTGGTTACATCCGTATACATGGGGCTCCTACCCTGGTTACATCAGTATACATGGAGCTCCTACCCTGGTTACATCCGTATACATGGGGCTCCTACCCTGGTTACATCCGTATACATGGGGCTCCTACCCTGGTTACACCTGTATACATGGAGCTCCTACCCTGGTTACACCCGTATACATGGAGCTCCTACCCTGGTTACACCCGTATACATGGAGCTCCTACCCTGGTTACACCTGTATACATGGAGCTCCTACCCTGGTTACACACATATACATGGAGCTCCTACCCTGGTTACACCCGTATACATGGAGCTCCTACCCTGGTTACACCCGTATACATGGAGCTCCTACCCTGGTTACACCAATGAAGTAGCCCAGGTACACAGGTAGATTGTAAGGTAAACACATTCAATCATAGGCTACTTCACTATTTCCGAACTCTTGTAATTTGATCCGTGTTTCAGTATGGCGGAAAAATCCACCCGGAGGCCCTGCTGCAGTTTGTCAACGAGAAGACCAACTTGTGGAGGAAGGTGAACGGGCGACTGGAACCTCGGGTGTGTGGCAAACCCAGTTGTCTCCCCTATTTACAATTGTCTCCCCTGTTTGGACTTTGGACCGGCCATGTGTTGTGTTTTTGTTTATATATTTCGTTTGTTTTGCCCCTCTTTTAATGTACCAATGTTACGTTTCTTGATTATCTTGTATTTAAATTAGTATGGTTCTACTCGTGGGTATTTTAGCAGTATTTATTCTTTGACAAACTTCTTCAAAGAGTTAAAGGTGTGCAAGGCTTTGGTCATTTGAGAGTCCTAAAGTTGGTCAAACCCAATTCAAATATAACCATGTAGAGCAGTAAGCAGACATTAAGTGAGCAGCCTGCTTATGAGCAGGAGCGCATTCGTGGCGTGGTGGTAGAGCGTCTGCCCGGAGAGCGGAAGGTCGGCGGTTAAATCCCCTGGCCGCATATTCCAAAACCCTCAAAAGATGGTACTTGTTGCTGCCCTGCTTGGCGCTCGGCAAGGAGTCAGTAAACTGTGTCTGAGTGGGTATCCATGTTAAACTGCGGCTTTGTATCAAACAAACAAACAAACAATTTGAAATGGGCGCCAAAGCGTGAAGCAGAACCCCCCTGTAAGACCATTATTGGCAGCCTCATAGACCACGTGTCGGTTAAGGAATTTGAAGGACAAAGGAAGTCGGTAAAAGTGTGCTGACTGTCTTCTTAGATAGAAATACTGTCTAAAAGAAACTGAACTGCCGACCAATTCATGTCTTCATATTTAGGGTTTTTGTTTCACTGCGTTAGATTGTATTCCACGTACACGAGATCATGTGTGAATGTCATGGTTATTTTTTTCAGTCTGGTCGTATCGAGAACCTTGACAACATATTCACGAAGTATGTTCCGAGTATTAAGGATATGAAAATATCTAAAATGGTAAGTATAGACCACAAAGCGCCCGTTAAGTTCAGGATGACCCCATGCGACGGACGCGTCTGTCGGCTCAGTCTTTGCACGATGTGGGTATATCGAGGGAGCACGACCGAGAGCGAACTTTACAATAAGGCCGATGGGAAGATCGTGTAACTGGGCAACGTTATTCGGATTTATTTGGGTTTGATACCATAAACAATTGCTGCTACAACTAACTGTCAGTCAACATTGTGTACAGAAAAGAATCAAATATATATAGACAGTGACTTTGAATAACATCATTTCTTGTTACACGTGGAGTGAATGTTGTTTAACGCCGCTGCCAACGAGGTTCTAACTGTATCAGGACGGGCTGTGTATAATACTCGAGCTTGAACCCGACAAACCAGTGACCAGTGACACACCATGAACGACAATCCACGCCGGAAGCATTCAATCAACAAGGTCACCGAGACTCACCTCCCGATCCTCCTCACAAGAAGCTTGGGGAATATGGGACTTGCTTTACTCTCTCCCGTATAAAGCTGACACGCCGAGATATAACTGAAATAATGTTCAAAGCGGCGTTAAACCTGTCTCACCCACAACTTGAGATCTACCCACCACGCACGCACACACAATAGTACAATGTGGCATGACAAATGACTAATCCTAACTTGTTTACAACATAGTATGACTAATGACTAATACTAACTTGTCCACAATGTATTATGACTATTGACTAATCCTAACTGGTGTACAATGTAGTATGACTAATTACTAGTACTAACTGGTGTACAATGTAGTATGACTAATGACTAATCCTAACTGGTGTACAATGTAGTATGACTAATTACTAGTACTAACTGGTGTACAATGTAGTATGACTAATGACTAATCCTAACTGGTGTACAATGTAGTATGACTAATACTAACTGGAATACAATGTAGTATGACTATTGACTAATCCTAACTGGTGTACAATGTAGTATGACTAATTACTAGTACTAACTGGTGTACAATGTAGTATGACTATTGACTAATCCTAACTGGTGTACAATGTAGTATGACTAATTACTAGTACTAACTGGTGTACAATGTAGTATGACTAATGACTAATCCTAACTGGTGTACAATGTAGTATGACTAATTACTAGTACTAACTGGTGTACAATGTAGTATGACTAATGACTAATCCTAACTGGTGTACAATGTAGTATGTCTAATTACTAGTACTAACTGGTGTACAATGTAGTATGACTAATGACTAATCCTAACTGGTGTACAATGTAGTATGACTAATTACTAGTACTAACTGGTGTACAATGTAGTATGACTAATGACTAATCCTAACTGGTGTACAATGTAGTATGACTAATGACTAATACTAACTGGTGTACAATGTAGTATGACTAATGACTAATCCTAACTGGTGTACAATGTAGTATGACTAATTACTAGTACTAACTGGTGTACAATGTAGTATGACTAATGACTAATCCTAACTGGTGTACAATGTAGTATGACTAATGACTAATACTAACTGGTGTACAATGTAGTATGACTAATGACTAATCCTAACTGGTGTACAATGTAGTATGACTAATAACTAATCCTAACTGGTGTACAATGTAGTATGACTATGTGACTAATACTAACTGGTGTACAATGTACATGTAGTATGACTATGTGACTAATACTAACTGGTGTACAATGTACATGTAGTATGACTATGTGACTAATACTTACTGGTGTACAATGTAGTATGACTATGTGACTAATACTAACTGGTGTATGTTTTTTTTATATCTCAGAAGGCGGCTGTGTCTGAGCTGAAGGGAGCCGACCTGCAACATCCCTGGGAGGCCGAGTAAGTGTATCATTTACTACCTCAGTGTGACTAGGGACCGGTCATTTATTGGTTTGGAGGTCGAGTAAGTGTATCATTTACTACCTCAGTGTGACTAGGGACCGGTCATTTATTGGTTTGGAGGTCGAGTAAGTGTATCATTTACTACCTCAGTGTGACTAGGGACCGGTCATTTATTGGTTTGGAGGTCGAATAAGTGTATCATTTACTACCTCAGTGTGACTAGGGACCGGCCATTTATTGGTTTGGAGGTCGAGTAAGTGTATCATTTACTACCTCAGTGTGACTAGGGACCGGCCATTTATTGGTTTGGAGGTCGAGTAAGTGTATGATTTACTACCTCAGTGTGACTAGGGACCGGCCATTTATTGGTTTGGAGGTCGAGTAAGTGTATCATTTACTACCTCAGTGTGACTAAGGGACCGGCCATTTATTGGTTTGGAGGTCGAGTAAGTGTATCATTTACTACCTCAGTGTGACTAGGGACCGGCCATTTATTGGTTTGGAGGTCGAGTAAGTGTATGATTTACTACCTCAGTGTGACTAGGGACCGGCCATTTATTGGTTTGGAGGTCGAGTAAGTGTATCATTTACTACCTCAGTGTGACTAGGGACCGGTCATTTATTAGTTTGGAGGCCGAGTAAGTGTATGATTTACTACCTCAGTGTGACTAGGGACCGGTCATTTATTAGTTTGGAGGCCGAGTAAGTGTATGATTTACTATCTCAGTGTGACTAGGGACTGGTCATTTATTAGTTTGTAGGCCGAGTAAGTGTATGATTTACTACCTCAGTGTGACTAGGGACCGGCCATTTATTAGTTTGTAGGCCGAGTAAGTGTATGATTTACTGCCTCAGTGTGACTAGGGACCGGCCATTTATTAGTTTGTAGGCCGAGTAAGTGTATGATTTACTACCTCAGTGTGACTAGGGACCGGCCATTTATTAGTTTGTAGGCCGAGTAAGTGTATGATTTACTACCTCAGTGTGCCTGGGGACCGGTCATTTATTAGTTTGGAGGTCGAGTAAGTGTATGATTAACTTCCTCAGTGTGACTAGGGACCGGCTATTTATTGGTTTGGAGGTCGAGTAAGTGTATGATTTGCTACCTCAGTGTTGACTAGGGACCGGCCATTTATTGGTTTGGAGGTCTAGTAAGTGTATGATTTACTACCTCAGTGTGACTAGGACCCGGTCATGTATTAGTTTGGAGGCCAAGTAAGTGTATTATATCCTACCTCTGTGTGACTAGGGACAAGCTATTTAATAGTTTGGAGGCCGAGTAAGTGTATTATTTCCTACCTCAGTGTGACTAGGGACAGGTTATTTAATAGTTTGGAGGCCAAGTAAGTGTATTATTTCCTACCTCAGTGTGACTAGGGACAAGCTATTTTATAGTTTGGAGGCCGAGTAAGTGTATTATTTCCTACCTCAGTGTGACTAGGGACAGGTTATTTAATAGTCTGGAGGCCGAGTAAGTGTATGACTTATTACCTCAGTGTGACTAGGGACAGGTTATTTAATAGTCTGGGGGCCGAGTAAGTGTATGACTTACTACCTCAGTGTGACTAGGGACAGGTTATTTAATAGTCTGGGGGCCGAGTAAGTGTATGACTTACTACCTCAGTGTGACTAGGGACAGGTCATTTAATAGTTAACAACATTAAGGACATCCGTCATTTCCCACGAATTATTTGTTTTGTAATGTACTGATGACAAAACAAAACTTTCCAGTGTTATTCCAAAATATTCTTCAACAAATTATTCTAGAATATCAGATTGTAGGTTCCTTATCACTAGCAATCCAAATCTATATCACACCAAAGAATCACCATTGGCAGGATATTGTATAATTATGTAACCAAGCAATGTCCATGCTATTAGAGCGCATACGGTAATGCCAGGACTATTCACATAATGTAACAAGCATGCAATAACATCACCTCCACGTCATGACATTACACTATGCTATGCCATTAAAATACTGATACATGTACATCATTTCCACGGGAGTACAGCGTCACGTCAAATGCAGGTGTCATTGAGCTACTCCCGCCAATGGCATGGGCCCATTTGCATAAAGCAATCTTAGCTCTTCAACTTGTGCAGGCTTTGTTAAAGTTTGGGATATACGATAGTTTTAGTGCTATCATCGCCGTGCACAAGGCGCTTGTACTGGTAAACACAGAAAAGATGAGAACTGCGGATGCGTTGTGACTCAAGAAACAGGAAGTGGGACGGCCAGTACCCATCTTGTAAGGGGTGGTGGGTATAAGTGTGTTCATTACGTTGTTGACATCTTTAAAGTGCTTACTGAATTAGTATCAGTATAGTTACTATTGTACTGTACATGTAAGAATTAATTAGCTGTTGATGCGACAATGTACAAAGGAGAGGTCCCGCGAGAGTCTGGCACTGGCCCCTGTTACAAGTTGGTGTAAAATTATTAGGATCGCATGCATGGCGACCACTTGTGACAAAATACACATTTTCAAAGCATATGTGTTTATCTTTAGTTAATTACCATATGGCATTCAAATGCACATACGTCAGTACCTTTACTTAAAGTACCCGTTTCTCCCAGCTTTGCCGAGTACTACAGCGAGATGATTGAGCGGATGATCGAGACCGGAAGCAACCACGTGCCCCTGTCGAAGGAGCACGAGGCCGTTCTCGAAATGGTCAACGATATCGACGGTAGGTCGTAAAGAGTGAATGAGTGAGTGAGGTAAACGCCATTTTCAACATTATCTGAATTATACCATGACGTCTCAGTCTAATGTGGCAAGAATCGTTGTGAAACCAACGAGCACGCAGCATCATATACAGAGCAAATCCGTATTCCTAACCCACAATATAGCGCATCCTTGCACGATTAAGGGAGGCAACTCTTCACAGAGATTCACGTCTCCTTAGACACCTTGTCCCCTGTGTCCAGACCATGAAGAATATGGTGTCATACCCTCTGCTGCAATGTGAGCATCTTGGTTGGGATTAATAAACTGCCCTTACCTGCCAACTCTGTGTTGGTCATCCCGGCAGACGATCCGCGCTTTCCCAGCCCCCAGACATACGTCCACTTGTAAGGGACATGGATCAAACATAAAGGTCATGTATTAAAAGCACAACCCTGTCCGTAATAAATCTCTCCAAGAAGAACATTCCACTCATTCCGACTACATGTATATATGATCATAAACACATATGGGTCAGGTTTGAGACATATGTTTTGTTTGTTTGTTGTTTAACGCCGCACTCAGCAATATTCCAGCTATATGGCGGCGGTCTGTAAATAATCGAGTCTGGACCAGACAATGCAGTGATTGACATCATGAGCATCGATCCACGCAGTTGGGATACGATGACATGCATCAACCAAGTCAGCGAGCCTGACCACCCGATCCCGTTAGTCGCCTCTTACGACAAGCATGGGTTGCTGAAGACCTTTATCTAACCCGGATCTTCACGGATCCAGACCTATGTATAATGAACATGTAGCATCTTCCCGAGGGAAGGGAGTTAACTGACAGTAAAAGTCCACTTTCCACCTATGCCGAACTAGGTTGGAATTTCTGGGCGCGAGCTTAGCGCCACTAGTGACTATTACGAGTTATGTCTCTCCTACTAGCCAATCAGATTCATTATATCACTTACATTTGCTTGAAACAAAATGGCGGCGCCCAGTAAAGATCGATAACCAAGATCTATATTGTAATATAACAGATCCTACTTTGCATCATATCACGCGAGCACCTTGAATAAAAACATGAAGAGATTTGGAAAATTTCTGTTGACGGCATATTGACGGTACGCATGCTTTACAAATCCTCTAATCGACCGAAATCTGCAAGGCAGTTGACGAACCGGATATCGATTTCGTTACGCGATTTAGATTGGACTATGCACAGACTCGTTACTCCAGCCAAAATGTAACTCCGTAATTCCAGCCTAGTTCGGCAAGGGTGGAAACTGGACTTTTAGAATCAGTTAACTCCCTTGCCTCTGGAAGATGAGATATAGTGGTAGTGGCTTGAGGTTGGACATCCTATACAAATATTTGCCTCAGTTGTAGGAAAAGGACCTCATGGATTACATTAGATAAGTATAACTGTCCATGTTGTTTTCTAATTCAGTTCTTGTAGTCTTCATGTAAATGATAACGGGTTTTTTCAGGTTTGACGCAGAAACAGCGAGACTTCTTCGTGAGAAAAATGAACATCGTTGACTTCATGGCCTCATCTATCAAGAACTACGACCCAACCAAAAACATCCCTGTAGGGAAGATGATCCCCGCTCAGCCCAAGAGCAACTCGCAGCTCCCCCGGGAGGAATTGTAGTGCTAGGCCCGCAGTGTATATGTGTGAATGGGCGGAGCTTGGCTGGACAATGACCTATCCCTAGATGTATGTAAATCATACATGCCTCATGAATTTTCATCATCAAGCTAAAGGGTTGTTTAGGAATGTAACAGTGTACAACTTTATGTTTTAGAAGTTACACATGTCAGAAACACTGGACCTTGTAGATATGAGAAACACATACAAATTATTTATTCCATAACGTTTTTGAACGTATGATGATGATTCACAAGGACGTTCCGACCTATTACCAGTATACTATATATGTTGTGTGCAATCGTACTTAATAATTAAAAGGCCACTGGGATGAATTGCGGGAAGCTCTATCGGCCTACGCTTAAATTGTAAATATAGATTGGGTAGATATGTTTCAAAATCATTCCGACGATAAACAGGGCCCACGTACACAGAACGAGCATGTGTTGCTGGGAGTTGTGCTTGACTTGGCGTAAAGTAAACACTGTGCATGTTGAACATCGAAATGGTACAATTCTCGTAGGAAACGTGTCCGTTTCATCACGCACCGTTACTTATTTCTTCACTCTACTTAAACCTTCACTACTGCCAGTTCATGTCATGAGCGGATAGTCCCTGTGTAGCTGCATGGACATGTGTACGTGTGGGAACAACAGATATAAATGTTTCTTTTTCATAAATGGTGTTTTGTATTGTATCCAGCTTCTTAACTGCTTAGGCATACGACACTGGGGAAAAGGTACCGTCCATTTAATATTCCGTCTTCAAGCATGCAAACTCTTTCCCTGAAAGGAGAAGACGGGAATATTTCTTTTGGAAGTATTTTGCATGGCAATATCATGTCAATGTTATGTCTTTAGAAAACTAAAATAAAAATATTTTGATTTGACTTTTTTTTCAAAAACATCCCTGGTCACCCCAGAAAATTAACTGATTGGTTAGTTAGATGGACCCGTGGAAATGATAATCTCTTTCAATCATTACCGCAGAGAACCACATGACTTGACAAACAAATTGAGAGTATTACTTTGTGAAAGTTAGCAATTATCTGGCCCTCGCGCCAGAGTAAACACATGTCGAACACTTGATCGTTGGTTCGAATCCCAATACAACAGGATTATGTTTCTATGTTTATCAGCACCATACCCGTGCTGGTTGATTTCACTAAAGTGGCAAACGTGGAAGACTGGCATCACTTCGAGCTTTCCTCTCAAACCAAGCTGATACGTAAACCTGACACTCACTCACTCAATTTGTATAGTTTACCAACAGCAAATCACATCGGCGTTGTTGGTACCGAGCTACAGTTATCCTACACACTACCACGAGGATCTAATACAATATATAGAGATATGATTCATGCGTTTTATTTACAACAAAACACAAACATAGCCATACACATATTAAAATACAACAACAATTGAGCAAAGCTTAATACTGGCTCGGTAGGTCATGTGACTTAATACTGCCGAATACTCTCTTGTAGAGCAGGGCGTGTGATAATCAATGAAAGATAAGTGTCAGACTGACTGACAAATATTCCTCGTTACAATACAAAAGTACAAATTGAGCAATGTCCATTCAAGCAGCATATATCATTGCGGTAAACAAAGTCGCAGCTAAATAAATAGACAGCAAAATATCCAGAGTATATATACTGTTATATAGTTGTTTAATACTGATGCGCGATACAATAATAATACTGTTCATGGGGCGTTGACTAAAACTTGTAATAATTAATACTGTTGTTCAATATTGAAGTGCAATAACATAATCACACTGTTGAAGAGGCGTTGACTAAACTTGTAACAATTAATACTGTTGTTCAATACTGATATCCAATAACATAATCACACTGTTCAAGAGACGTTGACTAAACTTGTAATAATTATTACTGTTGTTCAATACTGATATCCAATAACATAATCACACTGTTCAAGAGGCGTTGACTAAACTTGTAATAATTAATTCTGTTGTTCAATACTGATATCCAATAACATAATCACACTGTTCAAGAGACGTTGACTAAACTTGTAATAATTATTACTGTTGTTCCCTTCTGATGTGCAATAACCTAATCACACTGTTCAGTGGGCGTTGACTTAAACTTGGAATAAATAATTAATACTGTTGTGCAATACAATAATACTGTTCAGGGGCGTTGACTTATATACAGGTGTGACTGAATACATCGAAGCATAATACCGTCCATAAATAATTAGACCTCTGGTAGATACGAAACATTGAAGTACATGAATCCCCTTGTACAACGAAATGAGAGGTCCTCCTGGGCTCATTGGACAAAGCGATCTTAGCGCTAAGATGATCGTAACTCCCATACTTTAACAAAGGCTTACAATAGTCGTAGCGCTAAGATTGCTTTGTGCAAGTGGGCCCAGGACATTGGCATCAAGCTATAAATCGTGAATTTACATGTTGATTTTACAGTATTCAGGAGCTACATTCAAGATCCCATGATTTGTAATTCAAACTGTGATTACTTGTAATGCAAGGCTACCAACACATAAATATAATTCTGATGTAAAATATCCCGTTGGTACGTTTTGATATTAGTTACTACCAAACAAAACGAATCACGAATCACGATTAATACTGAAGTAAATACATCCGTATGCCTTAACAAAAAATTTACAGAATACGTGTGAACAATAAACGAAGTTATAACATGTTTAGTTTAAAGTGTAAATGATGAATAAATAAATGACATGTGCGATGGGACGGTAACAGTGTTAGCGCCAGGCTTCAGACGCGATGTTTCGGCTGTACTGAGGGTAGGTGTCACGGTAGCGGGCGCTGAAACGCAACAAAACAAAATGGAATCAGTTAAACGTCTGATGGTTTTGTCTGATTTCTGAATATAAAACTTTGGGTCATCTTCAAAAAGATGTTCTCGACTTTCTTGTGATAGCCTGAATCTGTAATTATTAAAGTAAATAGATTTGATGACTGAAATTTAACAAATGGACGTAGATTTGCATGTTATGAATAATAACGTGTAGCTGTAAATCGCAAAACGGTTGATAGTTTTTATTTAAAACACGAACTAGTGGATTTTGTAAATAGCCTCTTCAAGGACATAAATGTATCACAACATTTCATTATAGCTATGTAAAAATTCAAGAAATAAACAAATTGCAAGGTCCCTTCTAACACCTCTATATTTATCTTCTGGTAAGGGTTATATAATAAATTCATTATTTATTACACATGCATTGATTTATGTTCCGCGTGACCCGGTTTTTCCCGCCGACAGAATTCAAACCATCATAAGAAGCGCGGAATAAGTAAAATCAACTATAAATTAGAGTTATCTCCCTTGTAATGGTGATCCCTGCACCCAGCGCTTCTGTGCTCACTGGAAGATTCTCTATAAATCTCTGGGTTTAATTCTAAATGAAAAATATTTGCCCACCCGTGATACTCATGGTCAACATGAACCTTATATCAAAGATCTAAAACAACAAAAATGAATCTTTAAACAAACAACAAGTAACACGTAGTATGGTCCACTTACAAGACATTAGCTGGCATTGGGCGCTGTCCATACTGATCCAACATAGGGTCCTGCCTCAGGGTGTACTGTAAACAAGAAGGAACCAAATGTCACTGCTTGTATAAACAATATAATATCTGTCAATTACGTTATCAGGTTTCTTTGTTTGTTTGTTGTTTAACGCCGTACTCAGCAATATTCCAGATATATGACGGCGGTCTGTAAATAATCGAGTCTGGACTAGACAATCCAGTGACTGACATCACGAGCATCGAATAAATAAGGTTGGCGATGAAAGATTCAATTTACAATATTAATTTCACTACTAGTAACACAAAAAATGGAATGCCATAGTTATTTTTGCGTAAGTGAGTGAAGAAATGTTATTTTGCGCCGCTGTCAACAGCTAGTATCCTAACTATATCACGGCAGTCTTTTAAGAGTTTTATCTCAGCCAGACCAGTGGTTGATAGCATGAGTAACATCCGCGCCTTCGGGACATGACAATTGATACACACAATCATTCAAGTCTAAAACTCCCTCCCAACTGAATGTCTCAAGCATTATTATGCCCTGGAATCCCAACGGCTTTGATTAAGCTCAGTCAGCTTTGCGAGGATGGTTGGGCAGACATCATATCCCACAGGGGCAAGTAACTTAATCGTATCGGAAACATCGGGAAAACTCGTAAACCAACCAACGGTCGGGGTTCAACCTCCCTCTGCTACCACGCGATCAACATTCAAGGGACAGAACTCTTCCATTACTTCCGTGGTTCACATCATTTGGAACCTACCCTCCATGACCTCGTGACCTCAGGGCGAAGGTACCGCACAGCATATCCCACGAAACGGAGGTCTTTAAGGAAAGAAAATGCTTACAGATATTCAGATTTCAGTCACCACAACGATTTCAATTACATAAAAGGTTGATCTTCAAATATAGACTTGTTTACAATATTAAAAAATGAGTGTGCAAGACTATGCTTGTTTCAGGACTCCATGTATTTGTTTTGCCTTGAATTGAAGCTTGCATCAGTTCCAGTCAATTCCAGGTTCAAATTAATCTTAAAATCCTTCACGAGTCTATCTCGCAAATTCGTTCGAGGAATGTCCGTTACAGAGAATACAGTGAAATCCCGGCAGGTTGAACCTCGTTAATCCGGAATGATTACTGTTATCAATGTCTATACTAATGCGATATTACAATATACCCATGGTTCGCATATAACGGCATCGTCCTGATTAACGAGGCTACACTTTATATACATTACAGTACCTTTGTTTTCCGGGGTCTCAGGAAGATTGATATCATAGCGTTCTGGTGACTTGTTGAGAAAGTCCGACCACTGTTGGCGCGTTTTCCTGTCAAACAAATGTAAATATATAATATTAATATGCAAGACAATTGTTTCAAAATTGTTTCAAATATGCGACTAGTCAGATGGCCAAATACAAGTTAACTGTTACTTTAATTATTAATATATCTGTTAGTTCATTTTATTCAATATCTCTCTTTTTCTCTTTCTTTCTCTCTCTATTCTTTTTTACATTATTATTATTATTATTATTTTGTTTTATTTGGGAGGGGGGGGGGGGGGGGGGGGGGGGCATGTTTATCTCGATGAAACATTTTTTTTTCTAATCGATCACGACAGAGATGAAGGACAAATACTGTGGTACGTCAACTTACACTCTTTCTTTCTGTCTTTACTTTATATTCTGACTGAGGTTAGCAATAACAATACTTTAGGCCTCATAACAACCGACGTAAGATTATATCACGACGGACCTGGTAATATTGTTTGTACGTCCAAATTAAAGTGGTTCAAGTTGAAGGTGTTTAACGCTCGTGAAAGCCAAAATTATATACCGTGTGCTACCAGAACTTTGTCACTGTAAGAAACGTCGTCCTTCTCTTGCTTATTGAAGTTTTGTATCAAAACCGCTTGTGATTGTGATTTTTCGACAATGTTTGAGATTGAGAAACGAATAAACATACTAGTATTGTGCTGACTTCGATCTTGGCACGAAATCTAATATACCTGCACGCACCCAGGTAGGTCACGTGATGTGTGACCGGTGTTAGGTCCGATCAATAAGTCTGTGTTGTATAATATTAGGGGAACAGGTCAAGAGTTCGAAGTCAGATAAACATCCCAATTCCTTAAGGTACGTTGTAAACTGTAATGCAGCTCAAACATCACTCACCTATTTAAATAAACTCAACTGCCGTTTAATTGGATAAAAAAAATTCATGTGCCACTTCCAAAAACCTCTTATCAAACTAAGACAAATTAAATAAGAATTAGTTTCAGGTCACGTTGACCCAACTAAAGTAAAAGTCTTATCTCAGCGTAAAGCCAGATCGATAACATCATATCGATCTCGCGTGTCGCGAGCCACCATTAAGTCAATATATACTTTGAAGGGCAGTTAATCACATACAACAATCGCCAGCTGTTACCTAACCCGAGTGACCTTCCATTGAAATAAACCAAGGTTCACCAGTTACACCTAAAGGCAGCACTAATGGAATTCAATGTCTCTGATCATTAGTATTTTCTTCGGTGGGTATCACAATGTGGCCAAGTTAGCTCCCCTGGTACGGATCACTTGACCTCGCAAATGTTTTTGTGTGTCGTGACAGCCGGCAGAATGGCGTGTGAGGTGCGGTGTTGGGGTGTATTTTGTGCGTTTGTAGGTAGCTTCATGGCTTTGTGGTATGGTATATCATGTACGTATTAACGTTTCATGTCGGGTATTGTTGTCGGGTTACACTGTGCCGCGGCGACACTAAACCACAATGCGGGATATCATAATCACCGGCCGTGAAATAACATGCGTTATTAATGAACACTACAGAGAGCGGTTTGCTATTGTACTGTGTACTAAACGTCTGTTTGTTGTATAGCAAAACGTAGGATTAAACTCCATATCCTTAGCAAGATAATGTGTTTTTGATTCAAATGAATTATGGGAATCGGATGAAGATAACTGCATAAATAATTGTGTCCAAATATATAAAATAAAATATATTCCGAAACCGCGTTGCCTAATACTCGATTCTAACTTAGCTGGCCGCATGGAACCCTGGGTCGGAAAGGGGGGAGTTATATACAATCTCCTACACAGTGTTCCTTGCGGTCGGTAGTCCTGCACCATGACCGTGGAATATATTTATTTTATGGAAAAAAAATAATCTAGAAACGCATACAAAAGCAAGTCTAGCCAGATCTAGCTAGCTCTATTAATCAGCACAGGGAATTTTTTTTTATTTTTAGAGTCAAGAAGGATATGCTGAGTCACCACTGCGCCGGAGTGTGAGTTGTATAGACATCTTGACTACGAGGTCGATTGTGACGCAATATGTGCGACATCACTCGCACATATTGCGTCACAATCGACCTCGTGACGTCATAATAGCTGCGCGCAGTTAAGAAGTCTTGTAAGGTCTTTCAGGGGTGCTCACTTATTGTCAACTTTGCTTATATTACGAAGTAGCTGTGCCGCTAAAGGAAATTGGTGTTACATTTTATGTTGATGTACATACTTGAACATACCATGTTGGAATGTGATTATCGTTAATTCAGATGAGCAACCTGCTGGAGTAATTGGACTCAAAGCTTTACTCGTATTCATCCCTATCGCTACAGTGTTTGCGTTTCACGGTCGGCGTTCGGTTCGGGAGATGTAGTTTTGACTCGGTGAGACTTACGTTAATTCCTCTGGCGTTGTGTAGTATCTGTGGAGCTCGCGACCTGTGTCTGTGACATTCTGTAACAAACAGTAGGCATGAACAGAGTACGCATTACAGAAACAAAAGTATTTCACACGAGGACAATGCGAATCAGCAATAGATTTGGGTTTGTTGTTTAACGCTGCACTCAGCAATAGTCCAGCTATATGACGACGGTTCATAAATAGAATGCTGCAAGGAGAAGAATGTTGCAGGGATGAACCCGCCTGTTTCTCATTCATTAAATGTTGTATCTCTAGAAAACGAATAGTTTTTTACTCTCACCTGCTACTCAGTGATACCGTACGCATGCTACATTGAATCAACGAAATACGTACATACGTGGGATGATAATAAAGATGGGTAGAAGTAAGCTATTAATCGGCGAAACCACATAGGGGTCTGATCGACTGGAATTTGGGAATTCAGAAAGTATTTGTTTCCTTGGAGCCCCCAATTCTTTTACCCACAAAACATGACTTTTCAGAACATTCATCATGTTCAGAGGATTATTTATCGATTCTATAATTTCGATTCTACATATAATCAAAATAGCGAGCACGGGTGATATGTTTTCAGCGTTTTCAACCAGAGAAAGGCCCCTCGGTATATCAAATTACCTAATACAACAATCATTCGTATGTATACATGGCATTTCATGGTACACTACAATATATCACCTTAATCATAATTCACTATAGGTCGATCTAAGTTTGTAAAGTGTCAAATCTTGGAAAACAACAATTCGATGGAAAATTGTAATGGCTTTATTGATTACAACAGTAACGTCTGGTAGTGAGTCGTGAGTAACCAGAGACGTAATAACATACAACGTACACGTGTGGCTTACACACGCGGTCTTGATCGCCCTGGGTAAAGTGCTGACACTGGGACTACGTACAGCGCTGTGTTAGCGAGTATCAGTGTGTAAGTCCCTGGTAAGTCTACCCAGTATCGACAGGGGATATACCACTCATCTTGATAACGGTTTCAACAGACAGGTATTACAATGCCTGATGGGAAGGTATATGATTATGAGTTTCCCCGATGTGCGGATCGGCTACAACTAACACTGCAAAATCTACCCCCATGTTTTCCAGACGAACATATTGCCTGAAGGAACCACCATACATTTTACCCCCATGGTTGCTACAGCGGTACAACTTCACACAGTGTACATCGTTTTATCATACTTTAGAAAAAATCGGATACAAACGATTTAATGAGGGTTTGGAAAAAGATGACAGGATACATTTTACTGTTAGACAGTAATAATACGAAACTACGAGTGCGATCCGGATATGGTCATTACAAATGTGGAGAAGCAATGCTCTCACAAACCAGGTTTATGTTGGGGAAGTATTACTCCGTCCTTTTCTTCGTACACTCGTGGATGAAGGTTCTAGTATCCAAGTTGTTCTTACAAATCATCACTTACGCAAAGAGTAAAGACGTACGTTCCTTATAAAATGTGTATGCAAAGATGTTTCGAACCAAAAATATGTTCAAGCAGTATTATTAGTAACATATCAAAGACGTTGAGACGTGCCCCCTAACCTGGTAATCACAGAACAAGAGGTTTGTAATGATTATAAGTCACGCGTTGAAGAACAGGATATTTAAACAGACTTTAATATAGAGTGATTTAACCCAGTGCCGGCCACTTACCATGCTGGACAGCCGCTGCTTGGGAGGCTGGAACAGTGTAGTGGTAGCTCGCCTGAAGTCCACTGGAATGTAATAAATAAATAATAAACCAAAGGTTTGCTATAGTTTGACTTTTATGGATTTAGAAGCCTAAAGAAGCCCGTACAATATTGAACTGGGATCGAAATGATCCATCGATCTTAAGATTGTCAACATGTTGTCGCAATACTGGACGTTTCACAAGGTAGGTTCAATGTTTAACAATCCGTCGAATTTGTTACTTATTGCAGCGTAATCGTTCAGCACAGGCAAGAATAGAATAGGAAATTTCTGAAAATATTTAGCTGTTTGATCATTTGCGAGAGGCATAGGGAATTGGAGTTGCTGGGTGACGTGTGCAGAGCATGGTCCAATGAAAATTAGTTCAATGAAAATGAAAAACTAAATCAAATTTTAGTGCCTTTTATCCCTGAAATTTCAATCAGACAACCGGACTGGCAAAGTTTCCATTTCAGAATATTGTAGACTAACGAACAAAAGTAACAACAGGGTAGTTAAAGAATAATGCTATTTTATGTTAGCTCACAGAAAATTACAATAAACTGGTTGAATTTCAACTTATACCTCGTTCACATGCACAACATTTACTAACGTAAGTAATTTTACACATGTGTAACTATATATACGTGTGTATATATAAATTTACTATGCGTTCGCATGAAAAGCATCTTAGGTGTGTAAATAAGGTATGTAAATTGTGTAAGGCGCACATATTTAACACAAAACAGGTTGTTTTCCAATCAAAGCTGAATGAGAAGAGACCAACTTCACCGAAAATTTTCGCGTAAAGCAAAATGTGTTTGATTTAATTTGTACACAAAGTTTTGACTCCTTGAAACCAAAAACAACCACCATTCGTTTAACTCAAAATACGCATAAAAGTTGGCAACTGTTGACTATTTGTTTGGTGTTGGGAAAAGAACAGATATTAATTAGATCATCCTCTTACGTTGACATAAACGTTCACATTGCAACATATACAAAAAGTGCAAATTTACATTTACTTTTGCACCTGCTCCAGACATGATGCAAATTTGCACCTGGTGCAAATATACACACATGAGTAAACGCGTTCACATGACAAGTATACTCACGTATGTATTTCTACACACGTATGCACATATACAAACATATGTATAGAGGCGCATGTGAACGGGGTAATAGTAACTTTAATTCCAGGCCAATGGGCGTTCAACTTTTCAAAACTGACCGTCCGTCAGCAAAATAGATCGTCTCGGACACAGTGAGTGAGTGAGTGAGTGAGTGAGTGAGTGGGTTGGGTTTAACGCCGCTTTTAACAGTATTCCAGTTATATCACGGCGTGTCAGCTTAATGTTGGAGGAAAGCCCGAAGTGATGCAGGTCTCAGACGTTTACCACTTCGGTGAAACCCACGAGCACGGGTATGATGCTGACAAACCTAGAAACATAATCAGGGCGAACCGGGGTTCGAACACACAATCATAGGTTTCTGGCGTGCCCTAGGGACGCAACTCTGCACAGCGAATCGTGGCGCCGTCTCGGACACAGGCCCCTGAAGCTGGATAGTGATATTTCTGAAACACCGGACCCATAGATATAAAGGTATTTTTATCTGTTGGTCGGAGTTTCATTATATAACTATCCTGCTTGAGGGGCCTGTGGTGTCGGACAGGCGGGTATTTTAAACTCTGACTTTTTGATAAGTGTTCTATGAATAGGGGCTGCTCTACTCTGAAATTGAAACCCGATAAACCAGAATTTGCTAGAATAATGGTGTAAATAATAAGTTGCTGAGGTATGCTTTTAGATTTGCCTTGCCGGTGTATTGTCGAGTCATTTATGGTCCAGGTGTTTGTGACGGATCAATTCAAATCTTAAGTGCAAGATAAGCTAATCCTGTGAGTCTTTTCTACTAGACCTAGCTGTAGTGAAGATTAACACACTAACCCGAACCAATACCACTTGTTTAGCTTACAGTGTTATGGCTTGGTAGGTAAGTACCAGTTGAACTGAAATTATCGATTTGCCCAAGTCGACACTGGGTGGTCTTTCACGGTAGAGATTACTGTACACATATGTATGTCATTCATTGAATGACAGCGGGTTGGTTTCGACATCACAGAGTAACTAAAGAAATATTTATTCCACATGTGAGATATGATGTAGACAGTACAAGACACCGTACGTCGATATAGCATATAATGTAACCATTTGGTCGATATCTATCAATATTTAATATTTAATCCCCTGGATATTTTCGAAATATTTATTGATCGAATGTTTTTTACAGTTATTTTTGCTAACTCTGCATCGAATCGTTGCCGGTTTCATCAATTATTCATGAAAATGAAACCTATAAGATCACACTATTTTTTTAGTACCGTGGTTTACTTTTGTTAGACCTGGTTGTTTGCTTCAAAACTTTAAGCATATGGTATGCTTATGCTCTCTATAGTTATGCACTGTAGGGTTATCAAATATTCGTTTGAAGTAGATCAAATATTTGTCTTATGAATTGAGGTACACGATTTTTGCAGCGGGTATAAATGGGTTATGCCACAGTTAGCAAAGGGAAGGCCCGGCATATATGCTAGGTCCCCCGAGTAAAGAAACACGACAATTTACACTGTTGTACATATGATCACTAATTTATCAATACTGTATCAACTACTTACACGTCAAATAACTTCTATTCTGAAAACAGCACAATCGGTAATTTAGAAATAAATCAAGGTCACTAAATGTCATTGTTTCGTATACAATGTAATCTTCAAAGAAATAAGGTGACTTGGACGGATTACAGAAATCTATCATCAGATTTGTCGTACAATCCTGCTTGAACCTTATCGGAAATCCTGGATCTCTGGGGATTAGGTGTGATAATCATATTCGTTCTGATACAAAGCACCCTACGAGTATATGTATTGCTGCAAAAGAGCCATGATTTATTTGAAAACGGAAACATTGCTATGAATGTTTGCTCAATATTTAATCACACACAGACAAAGAAGAAGAAGAAGAAGAAAGGATAAAACGCTTCAAAGGACGCTAAATTCTTAAAATTATGTTGATGATGCATTCAATTATCTTATTTCAAAATCAATAAAATATTTATCTTAAGTTTCCTTATATTTTCGTATTCCGAAACATGACCTCAGTTTATGAATGTACCTGCACAGGAACACATATCAGGTAATTTCCACTAGTTCTATGTATGCTGTGATCATTTGGTCTGGCATTAGGTCGAGTGCCAATTTTTGATTCTCAATACATATGTGTTCATTAAAGGACTTCGGGTTAATGTGAACCAGAACGGACATATACATGGTATAGATGATAGTCGGGAGGGGCATGTTCTCACCTGGACCACTGCTTGTCGTAGTCCTGCAGTGCTCATCCGGGAGTTTGTGTCCGGCCGTATCCATGTCCATACGGCGGAAGGTCGGGAGTTTCGGGTGGAACAGTCCCTCCTTCACAGCGGCCAGCTGGACCTTCCTCAAGGACGGGTAGTTGTAGGAGTAGCTGGGCATCTTCATTGGACACACCCTCTCAGTGGGTTTAGTATGAACGTTCACCGTCGTCATCGTGCACGTCGACAAAGATGTTATCGAACGATACGTTTCTTATGAATAGAAATTATGAAATAGCAAAGCTAATACGAATACCTTTTATATGCACAACCTAATACCTAATAACCAGAACGAGGGCCTCTTCAAGTCTACTCCGTCCGCTCTTACAGGTTGCGCGACAATAACGCTCTAACCTTTACCTATGCATAGACAAGTAAAGCGACAGAACGTTGCCCTTGGCAACGATCAACAAAGGCTTCCTTCACGCGCCGCGGCCTACCGGAAATAACCCGGCGCGTTGAGGGGCATTTATCATTGATAAGATTTGTCGCTGTAACTAATACCAATGTGTTACATGTGGACGATTAGGAATTAATTTCCTTCAGAATATTGACTCTGATTTGTTTCGTCTGATCTAAGTAACCTTGTATACTTAACATAAACTAAACATAAAAGGACTATTGTTTTTTGTTTGTTATTGCAGCCCTAGTTCTTCAGTTAGACACAAGAAAAACAAATGCTTTCAGTGTACCTTAGCTTCTAATACTTTTGATGACTCTAATTTTTTAAATAATTTTTTTATGATACAATTTCTTGAGCTCATCAATGCTCTTTTGAAAAAAATATTTCATGAAAACTGTTCATACTGCACACCGAGTTAACATAAACAAATAATTGGGTTTCGCGAATGGCGGAAACACTTTCACCCAATGAGTCATGAGTTGTAGTGGCGGATTCAGAATTCTGAGGGAAGGTGCGTACCCCCTCCCTATAAAAATAAAGCAAATAAAAAAAATAACAATAATAATAAAATATATTAATTAAATAAAAACAATAAAATAGAATATAAAATAATTTTTTAAAATAAATTAATATGTAAATGGAGATAAAATTGTAATTTAAGCAAGCAAACTACGTAAATGTGGATGCAAAAAGAATAAGTCGGAATACTGATCTACACAGCATTCACTCTCATCCAGCTCAAGATCGTTCCACTCTGCACTTCAAAGTGAGCCGTGTTTCACGATGCGGTTAATTGACATTTCCACAGCCAAATTAGCTACAGTCCATATCAAATTACAGAAGATCTGTGGCTAACAGTAAGCCAAGTATGTGTTAAAAAAAAATTAACATTACCACAAAACTTGTTAAATGTACCTTTTTGACATGTTTTTAAACGAAACGATCGGCACTTTATACATGCATGTAAAATATATTTCCCTAATCACAGATAGCGATACCTATTACATTACTAATCACATATCTCTCGCATATCATCACACAAATCACTCAAGTTTTCTATACTTCATGTGACATTCCTGTGTATTAACAGTAATAATTAAATAATTATATATCTCCAAATTGAACACAAGCTCAAGGTGAACACAGTTGAAGAACAAACTATACCCTGCCATCCCGAATCCCCCGAGTTTCAGTTTTGAGCTGGATAAGAACACCCCGTACTAACAAACACTGGCCGTACGCGTCATATCATACCGCCCGGCCGTCTGTGCAGGCTCTGCCATAAGAACTTAAACAAATGTAAATTAATAAAAATACTGGCACAATAATAACAATTTTTGTGTTTTCTGACACTATATGACAGGTAAAAGGCTTCTCATTGCTTTTGATTGAAAACCTAAACAGCCGAGATAAAATGAATTTGGGTTGAAATTTTAAGAATATTTGCACCCCCTTCTCCCAGAAAAGCTGTATACGCCCCTGAGTTGACATACATGTACATGGCTATAGTGAAATAAACGCTATTGATCCGGTGCAGACATTAAAGCATCACACGCGAAGTCGGTGGGATTCAAACCCGCTAACAACGCAAACAGCCGATATCCTGGCAGCGAAAACTTAAAGTAAATCCCAGTTTCTTTAGGCAGTCAAAATGATGACTCTCTCATGCAGACACCCTCGAGATTATTAGCCAGTTGTGTGTTCCCGTATATATCTTAAATATAATTTATTAGGAACATAAATGTCATTATGCCAACAAGTAGACATTGCATCAATGCAAGGAGCTTATGAAAAGTACTTCCTGCTTGGGCACCTCATTTACATATTTATCGAATCGCGATACTTAGTTTGTCAGATTTGTTATCGCATCGATAACACTATCAATTATATAATAAATGAAAATAGAAAATTTTAATGTTTCAAAGTAACGTCATTAATAAGCTTGTGCTTACATTGATACAAATTATGACCAAATTTGAGATTCGAACAATGTGAGTTAGATAGGTGTTGATATTCGAACGCTGTCAAAGATAACAGATGTGCGTTATCACGAGTTTATTAAGGAGAACAGCATGTAGTCTTCTACAACAGCGTCACCATCTGCCCAAGGCAAGGGAGTTAAATGATTGTAAAAGTCCAGGTTCCACCCTTGCCTAACTAGGCTGGAATTTCTGGCGCCACAAGTGGCTATTACGAGCTATGTTCCTTCTATTTCCCAATCAGATTCCACCTCTCATATCACTTGCATTTGGGTCAAACAAAATGGCGACACTCAGTCAAGAAAGTCTGGTCGATAATCAAACTCTATATTGTAATAAAACGGTTGCTACTTCGCGAAGTGCATCAACTTCCGTGAGTTCCTTGATTAAAAACATGAAAATATCTGTTGACGCCGAGTTGACAGTACACGGTTTTTTTAATCCTACACTCGACCGAAATCTGCGCGGCAGTTTACGAACCGGGTGTCGATTTCGTTACGAGATTTTGATTGGACTATGATGTATAGACTCGTTAGTCCAGTAATATAATACTCTCTCTCGTTTTTTATCCTGTTTTACGCTATTTCCGTTTTTCAGATATACTTTTGGTCAAGCATTTGTGATTGAATATACTCTGAAGTAGTAAAATCTGCGGAGTTGCTATGTTGACAATTTTCGAACTCTCTTAAGTATTTCTTATATAAGATTGCAAACTTTCATTCATGTAAGTTCGGTAGTTTCTGAGAAAACCTGTCCCCATTTCACGCAGTATGTACAAAGTTGAAAAACACGGAGCAAGGGACATAACTCTGTAGAAAAATTATTTCCGGCACCAATTTTCAAACAGTCTTGACAAGCATCTCTTAGATAAGCATGCAAACTTTCTTTTATATAACTTCAGTAGTTTCTTAAAAAACCTTGCAGACACCAAGCACTTAGTTGAAAAGCTTAGAGCAAGGGTCATAAGTCTGTAGAATATGAATTTAAGACAACAATCTTCGAACTCGTTTGTAATCCTAGTGTTTAAAATTTCATTTCTCTAAGTAGTGTTTGTGAGAATTTGTACCCTTTGAGAAGCGGACGGCTAGCCGGAGGAGCTCCGTTCCTATGTCCCTTTCCACACTTCGTGGCGGGGGATAAATAGTGGTCAAAATCAAATTCTTCTTCTGCCACAACTCACACATTAACATAATCAAACAACAGGAAGCGTCATAAAATCTTCCTTTGCTATACATTGTCATTTGGCGAGTTTGTTTGAGTGAGTTGGGTTCACACCGCTTTTTGCAACATTCAAGCAATATCACGACGGGAGTCATCAGTTGGATGGTTTGTTTGTTTGTTTGTTGTTCCAGCTTTTTGACGGCGGTCTGTAAAATAATCGAGTCTGGACCAGACAATCCAGTGATTGAGATCATGAGCATCGATCCACGCAATTGGGATACGATGACATGTATCAACCAAGTCAGCGAGCCTGACCACCCGATCCCGTTAGTCGCCTCTTTCGACAAGCATGGGTTGCTCAACATAAAAGCAAAGCTAACAGGTTAACGTTATGACAATATATTTTCCACGCCCAGTTGAGAATGTCCCGTACATACGCACAGGCATTCTAATGTCGCCGCCCACTGGGAAAGCTCTTTCCAGTTTCAAGTGGTCAGGTTACTAGATATTCACCAGTCAGGTTAAAAAAATACATATTTTTGAACCTGGAGAGGTATGCAAACTGGATTTCTCTTTCAAGCTCCACTAATGGCCCCATCAGTTTAGGTGTGCATGGGAGGTGGATAACCACGTGCAATAATACAATGTGGCTTAGCCTGTTCTTGGAATTATTGATGGCTTAGTAAATATGGTGATTTACTGGGTGATAACAAACGTTGGTGAGGAGTGGAAACCATCACCATTAATCGTAAACATGTATGTCCTATGTACGCTTACACTGATCAACTAAGTTACAATCGATCTTGATCCCCAACTCGTTTTCAACTTTCCCCAACCGATCTTGTATTTAAGTTCGGATCTTAGCTTAGCTATTATCGAAATCTTCAAATTCGGAGGTACGGAAGTCGTAAACTTGAGTTCTGTCTACAATTATCTGTAAAAGCGCACAGCTTGCTGCGCTTTCCAACAATGGAACCGGTAACGACACAGTACATGTTCCTCCCATCGCACCTTACACAGTTCTAAAACAGAGTGTGAAAATAAATTGAAGGAAACGACTTATAGAATTATGGCATATAACTTCTTTTTGCATTGATATTGTCGTGACTTAGGAATTGTGAGGTGATGTGAGATAGGGTTTAACGTCGAGTTCAAGATTGTTGCACTTACATAGCGACGTGCATGTACTAGCCCGGACTAGTGCCGATTTTATCATGCCAGCCCACTGAGATACCATGCCGCAGTTTAACATGAATACCCCACTCAGACACAGGACACTGTCTTCGAGCCGACCAGTCCTTGTTTCAGACCCTCAATGCCGAGCGCCAGGCAGGGTAACAAGAGGTACCATCTTTTAACGTCTTTTGGTATGACGCGGCCGGGGATCTAACCCTCGAAACTTCGACGTACCACTAGACCACGGAGGCAGTCCTATTTGATAGTGATTCATAAACGCATGCTCATTATATTGTCAGAATAGTACAATCGACTCTGCTTTGGCAGAGATTTCTTATGAATATAGTTAGGATTTTGTCTCTTTTGTTTACATGCTGTTTGTTTGTTGTTAAACGCCGCACTCAGCAATATTCCAGCTATATGACGGCGGTCTGTAAATAATCGAGTCTGGGCCAAACAATCCAGTGATTCATATCATGCGCATCGATCCACGCAATTCCGACCATATTAAACAAATATGATGAAACACGTTCCATCATTATAGCTGGAATACAACAAACAAACAAACAAAACCACAAGAAACTCTGCTGAAAGCAGAATCGATTGTACGATTCTGACTATATCATGAGCATTTGTTTATGAATCACCATCAAATAGTGATAGTACCAGGTGTTCGCGAAA